GATTGAAAGTCATTACCATCTGACAGATGTACTAAGGGTTATGTGTTTTTTTTAGTTGTCTCAGTCCGGTTTCTAGTGGACAGATGTCCACATTCAGAAAAGATGAAACAAAGCAAATATGACAACACAGCTACTTTCAGCAACTTTGCTGAAAAGTCTTTACCATTAATGTGGGGCCTGGCTGAACATCTGAACTGATCAGTCCTCTTGCTTATCATGGTAGATCCACTAGCAGAAAATAGATGGTGTATGAGGAAGCAATGTTGTCCTCTGGAAGATGCTGTATCTTTTTCAGTAGGATTGAGAGGTTACATATTTCTCTGGGGCTATCAATTGAATATGGACTGCAAGCAACGCTTTTGCTTCAAAAGTAAGAAAAATAGCTCCATTCCTTCCAAAGAGAATCATGTTAGCAGCAGAGCTCTCTACTGCTCCCACTGTTTTCCTGATGCTTCACCTCATCAGGCTTCTGGGACCTGACAACCTATCAGACTGAAAAACAGAAAAGGGATGGGGGAGGTTTTAATGCATGAAGAAAGCAATGAAGAGTGTCAGTCTCATGCTTGCTGTAGGTTTCACAATGACATTAATAGCATAATATCAGTAAGTAACTAAATCTAGTTGTAGCTAGCCAGTTACTTATAGTCTTCATGAGAACAAACAGATTTCTCTCTGTATACCTTTCCTCAAAAAGTCTGTAAACGCTTACATGTGTTGAGTTAAATTGGTGGTTCAAGACCAAACACTCAGGTAAAGGTTAAGGCAGTACAGGTTTGCTTGGTTGGGCTGTGCTGTGGCAGAAGGCCCAGGCCTGTCCCACTGCACCAACCAGAGAGCAGAGAAGACCGAGGGGCGGCCAGAGCAGCTCCAGCCCTGGGCACCAGGCACCTCCATGCAGACAGGACACGAGCCCAAGAGTGGCAGTTGGCTCTGTGGAGCTCGTTGCTGGGCCAGGCAGGACTGTAGAGGAGCAGGAGACTGATACGGCCTCAAGTTGCGTCAGGGGAGGTTTAGATTGGATATTACAAAAAACTTATATACTGAAAGAGTGGTCAGGCATTGCAATAGGCTGCCCAGGGAAGTGGTGGAGTCACCATCCCTGGAGGTGTTAAAAAAATGTGTAGATGTGGCACTTCGGGACATGGTTTAGTAGGCATGGTGGTGTTGGGGTGATGGTTGGACTTGATGATCTTAAAGGTCTTTGCCAACCTATGATTCTACAATCTCTGTGGCATTGCTAGGACATGGAAACACAGAACACCTTTAAGTGGGGTCCTGGCCGTAAGCAGGTGTCCTGATCCAATGTCAGGAAGGTTTCATTTTAATCCCAAGGATGAGATTAAGACACTAAATTGGGTCAATTGTCATACAACCTTTCAACTTTATTGTTTTAATGAACAGGGAGAGCAGAACTGGGTAGAGTTACAACAGGGAGAATAGGGAAGAGAAAAGGGAAGAAAGAAAGTGGAGAGAGAGAGAGAGAGAGAGAGAGAAAGAGAGAGAGTTCAAGCCAGGGAAAAGAGGGTTAGGAGGGGAATCTAGCTACCCCCACTCCAAGTCCAGTGATGTCCGTCGACTCTGTCTGTTATTCCCAGGCATCGCAGGTCCCATCGAAGCAGATTCCAGGAGACGCATGAGAAGGAGAAGAAGCAGCTCCCCACAGGAGCGTGCACAATCCTTTTATAGAGGTCCCATGCTCATGCGCAGAGCACAATTGTGTACTTGCAGTTCATGCTATATGTATTGTCTTCTCAGCTAGCCTTCTTCTGCTTCTTTGTGCCCTGGCCCCTGCGCAAGTGCATGATGGTGCTTGTCCACAGATCATTAGGGTGGTGTTTTCCAAGGCAGGATATCAAAATTGGGAAGTGGTGGTATAATGGCAATGTTGAGACAAACTTAATTTAGTAGCGGTCTTCTACAGCAGGGGAGATCAGTGACCACTAAGGTCTGTTAGTCCCTCAGGTCCCACCCAGTTTCACTCCAAGTCCAGAAGGGCCAGATCCCCTTTTTCTGCTGCCACGATGAAGGTCAGAGTTTACTTCACATCATACTTGGAGCATCAGCCATCCTGACACTCTGGTTTGCTTCCAGAGCTTGCTCCTGTTATCACATATATTCAGTTGCCTGTGCAGCGTGTGTGCTAATTCACTCCAGGAGTCTCTTCCGGAATATACATCTTAGTCGCCTTAAAAAAAAACCCAGGTGAGTTGCCAGGAGAGTTTGCTTATGGGTGTGCTGCAGATCGACAACAGGAGAACAGATGTGCATTATTTGACACTGAACAGTTGGAATAATCCTGCTCTACTTCAGCAGGCCAAAAGCACTCAACCACCACAATGTGCCTTCACGCTATGCCCTAGATGTCAGGCTGTAAAAACCCTCCTGCTGGATGCAATTTTACCCCTATACCAGGCACTTCGAGACAGAAAACAGACAGAAATTGTGGCTTTTGTCCACAAGGGTGGTCACTGAAGCTCAGAGAAGAGACGGACCAAATGTTATTGCAGGTGGGATACAGATGGACCAGTCTGCAGAGGCCATGTCAACAGAGGGTAGATGTGAGTCACACGTGCTACTTGACTCCAGGGCAACAGCCTACGTGGCTTTTCTCAGTAGTCTAGATGTTGCCATGAAGGCCGAGTGCCCTGAAGAAGCAGCAGCAGAGAACAAACGGCATAATGCCCTTATCTAGCTCTGCATCTGCTCCACACCAAACAGCCCTGCTCAGCTTTTGTGTGCTACCTTGGTTGCGACAGCGTGGCATCTCGTACAGACACTGCACCCGCTTAGAAATCTGTCACCTCTGGCAAGATCTGTGTCAGGGGTGTAGGCAACTACTCCCAGACACATGTGGTACATTCATCACTGCGTTCTCAAAGCACCTGGGGATCCCGCGAGGTGAAAAACGCTCTACCTGCTTCTATGGCAGTATTTGAGAACTTACGCATGTAAAGTTATTAACATTAGAAAGTAGTATAAAGTGATATTTTTGACTGAAATCACATCTTTCTATAATTCTATTGTCAAAAATGTCTGCCTTAGCTAACCTTTTTTCTCCTCTTTTGCCTCCCACAGACCTAATTTGCTTATTCAGTTAGACACACTGGAATCTGAGAAAGTTGGGAAACACATCACTTCAAACTCTTTTCTTAATGCCAATTTTGGAGCTCTTCTGCAATTTTTTCCCTTAGCTTTTTTTTCTGATAAATAAACAAATTTTAATAATGACCTAAAAATGTTTCTGTAACGGCAAAATTGATGGTGAGATTATTTAACTGATAATACTAATCTCATCAATTGAAAAATGATCCAGTTTTTCCTGAGATAAAATAATGCCAAAACAGGTATACACATACGAATGTAGCTGCCATTTGTGTACACCAGAGATATACATTGCTTAGCTTTAAAATGGTGAGATTTACTTGTCTTTTAAATTTTTAGTTTTATGTTTTACTTTTTCTGCACAGCCAAGAAGAACAATATGTTTGTTTATCTTTGTTACAGAAAGCAGAGATCTTATGTAAAAAACTGGGCTCGAACCAAAGTAATAAACAAACAGAAGCCATTAAAAACTACAAGGCAGGCAATAAATGAGTGGCAGCTGCCAGAGCTGTAGAAACTGTAAATGTGATCAAAAAGTGACAAATTAAGGTAGAAAAAGCTGGATAAATGATCAGCTTTTTTTTTTTTTTAAAGTTATTTTAACATCATCTGTGCAACGGAATTTCTTAATTTAATTACGTGTAAACTATGTTTTGCACTCAGGACTCGTGGCAGCTTGGCAGTGCTGGAAAGCAAAGGCTTCATTTTAGTGATATGTAGTTCTGTGTCATGGCCTTCTCTAGTTTCCTAGATGTTTTGGAGAAAAAGGAAAAAAGACCTCCTGGACACAGTGCCTGAGAGGAAAAAGAAAATAGTGCTGAGGTGACATAGTCCTTTCCTTAAACAATTGTTCCTGCCCTACTTCTCCCTCTTCCCCCATTGCTGCTAACTTGCAAGAGCTGACGACATGTCCTTCCACGTCTACTCGTTAACAGTTCTTGCTGTGAAAATGGAGGAAAACGTGCTAGTTCCAAAAGACAATTACCTTTTTTTAATACGAGCAGCGCATGCATGGAGAGAGCACCTCTGCCCTGCTGCTCCCACAGGACTAGCACTGCCATACGTAAAGCGAGAGGCAAAAAAACTGCACTTTTCATACTTCTGTTCAGCAGCGCTGAGAAGTTCAGCAGCTGTGGTGGATCATAAAACAGAACTCCGCTCTAGTCCATTCCAGCTGCTTTGCCAGCGTAGCCAGAATAAGTGTAGGACAGTAACGATGTGTGTATTTCTGTCACTTTAAAATGCCTGCAACCCTTATTAATTCTGAAAACACTAAGAATTGTTTAAAACCATAGGACTATTTACAGTATGTAACTTTTGGGTGATTATGGTTGCCTGTGTCAGATGTAGAGTCATCCTGTACTCACATTTCACGGTTATGTTTTCTGTTATGTGATGCTCACTGATCACCTATTGCTGCTGACAGCTGAGGTTTCAGGGAAAACATAACAAATGACCAAAAAATACCCCCAAAGTAAGCATGGCGAGACTCATGATAAAATCACCACGATGAGTTTGGTGATCAGCCTGTAGCATCCGCGCCCTGCACAGCGTTTGCTACACGCTGGCACCTGAGAGCTGCCATCTCCACTCGGCCTTCTTTGTAACTGTCAGTAACACAAAGCGAGAGTCATTAATTCCAAAATTACCCGGTGTGTGACTACCCCTGGCAAAACATGAGGTGTACAGTCTCCAAGCCTCGCAGGAGTGGCACCTGCCTTCTGGGGCACAGAGGGGTTTTGGAGATGAGGGATTTGCCCACAGTGTGGAGAATCGCAGCCTCAGGAGACAGTTCGAAATCTCGGTAAACTGCTAGAAAACTGAGCAGGACTCTTGAGACTTCACCCCTTCAAATACACCACCCCACCCCTCCCCGCCCTCAGGCGGGACAGGCAGCCATGTCGCACCCTCCCGTGGCAGCCGCCATCTTGCTGTGCTTCTCCTGGCAGCGGCCATCTTGCGTGCCGGACAAGAGGCGGGAGGCCTGATGA